GATTGGGGGTCAAGCACATCGGTGTCACATGACCTTTGCTCTTGACCTACATTTAATTGTGACCCATACATTTTTTCTTTTCCACAATAAGTTCTACCACCAGGTGCAGGGGAATGCGATGGGAACATCTTGTGCCCCTTCCTATGCCAACCTTCACCTGGGGTGGTGGGAAAGTGAAATAGTCTCCTCTGAGTCTCTTAAACAATATACTGATCACATCTTTTTATGGAGGAGATTCATAGATGATGTCCTCATTGTCTGGATGGGCACCAGGGAACTATTTGCCAAATTTGTGGAAATCCTTAATGTTAATGAGCACCTAACCTCAGATAGCTGCTCCATCGCTTAATTTTTTTGGACAGCACATTGAGAGTGGTATTGAACTGGAGACGAATACCCCTCTCTACTGTAAACCTACTTCAACTAACACAATGCTGAGTTGGGAAAGTTATCCTACTTCCCTCAAGAGAGGTATTCCAGTAGGACAGTATCTGAGGCTGAGGAGAAACTATTCTTCTACCAAAGATTATAACCCCTTAAGGACGGAGCCAAATGTACACTTTGTGAACGAAACAAAATGTAAACAAAACCTGGCATTTGCGCTACATGTCTGTCCAACCGTAATCCGCCTCTTTCATATTAAATGCACCCACCCTTATTATATATAATTTTGTTCAGGGGAAACAGGGCTTTCATTTAATATCAAATATTTAGCTATGAAACATAATTTAATATGAAAAAATGGGAGAAAATAAGAATTTTTTAGATTTTTTTAGTTCTACATGACATTTTAACGGTCAATGTCATAATACTGTTTTCTTTTACTGCAATAAAATACACATATTTGTATTCAGCAAAGTCTCACGTGTAAAACAGTACCCCCTATGTACAGGTTTTATGGCATTTTGGGAAGTTACAGGGTCAAATATAGCACGTTACATTTGAAATTGAAATTCGCCAGATTGGTTACGTTGCCTTTGGGACTTCATAGTAGCTCAGGAATGAAATTTTCACCCATAATGGCATACCATTTGCAATAGTAGACAAACCAAGGTATTGCAAATGGGGTATGTCCAGTCTTTTTTAGTAGCCATTTGGTCACAAACACTGGCCAAAGTTAGCGTTAGTATTTGTTTGTGTGAAAAATGCAAAAACTGCCAATTTTGGCCAGTGTTTGTGACTAAGTGGCTACTAAAAAAGACTGGACATACCCCGTTTGCAATACCTTGGGTTGTCTTCTATTGCAAATGGTATGCCATCATAGGGGTAATTTTCATTCTTGGGCTACCATAGGGTCTCAAAGGCAACGTAACCAATCTGGCGAATTTTAATGTGAAAAAAAAATGAAACGCAAGCCTTATATTTGACGCTGTAACTTTTGAAAACACCATAAAACCTGTACATGAGGGGTACTGTTGTACTCGGAAGACTTCGCTGAATACAAAAATATAGTGTTTTAAAACAGTAAAAAGCATCGCAGGAATAATATCGTCCGTGTAAGTGCTGTTTGTGCGTGAAAAAAGCAAAAAAAAGTCACTTTTACTGGCGATATCGTCGTTGTAATGCATTTTAAGGTTTTGAAACAGTCCCCCGAGTAGAACAGTACCCCCCATGTACAGGTTTTATGGTGTCTCGGAAAGTTATAGGGTTAAATATAGTGCTAGCAAATTAAATTCCCTTTACTTTCGGCATGGGTTGTCAGGCAGGTCCCGCTAATTGTAATTAATTAAGATACCCAATTATGTAAAATTATTACATAAATATATATGTAGAATTAATATATGTATATATATATATATACGTATGTGAATAAATATGTATATATAATTTTAAAAAAATATTTTTATTTATATATATGTATATATATAGGGATATATACCTATATATTTATGTATATAGATATATATATTATTTCGTTCTACGTGTATTTTGATATAAATATATATATATATATATATATATTAATATCACAAAACAGTTAGAATGAAATAACACACATCTATATATTTTAATTTTTTATTATTTTTTATTTTATTTTTTAACGTATTTACATATTAAATGTTTTTATATTATATATAAATATATATATAACAATAATTATATATATATAATTAATCAGTATCAGTCTACGTGTAATTTGATATTAACATATATATATATATATAATTATATATATATATTAATAGTAAAATACACCTATACAGTGTACGTGTGTGTATGTATATATATATACTTAGATCATATATATATGATCTAAGTATATATTATTTTTTTACACTGATTACATTTTATTTATTTTATTACCAGCCAGCAAGGGGACCACCTGTCATTACAGGCAGCCCCCCTGCTGGCAATGCAGGAGGCAGCTACCCCCGGCCATGTGATTGTGGGGTCCTCGCAAGGACCTCACTCTCACATGGCCGGTGGGCTTCCAGGGGGTCGGACGTGCGCGGGGGGCTCCCTGGGAGTCCCCCCAACAGCGATCACCGGCGTGGGATCGCTGGCGACCAGGTAAGTACAGAAAGACCGGAGGGCGTACTATTACGCCCGGCGGTGTTTAGAGCCGCTTAAAATAGGGCGTAATAGTACGCCCTCCGGTCTTAAGGGGTTAAGCATAAGGCAATACAGCTCAGACAGAGGTTTAAGGAGTAAAACATAACCACTAACTATAGTTTAGTTTACTATTGTATCAATGTCCCTTGAAGTAAACTATCAGTGTAACTGTGCTAGGTTATACACTCTGTAGGAGAGGAACTCTGAAAATCTGAAAATCTCTTGTCAGATACAAAAATTGGGAAATTGATACAATAGTATACTAAACTATAGTTAGTGGTTATATTTTACTCTATTGATATTTAGTGTCTCTTATAATTGCCAGCTTCAGTTTCACTGGCATTTCTGAATGTACACTATTAATTATTTATAGTTGGACTCATGCTGTAATCTCAGTAATAATTAGGATTATTCTACAATAGTCCTTTTTTATTTTATTTTATTTATATATTTTTCTTTTGGTCCTTTGTTCTAAACTATTAATAGCTTTAAAATTTTATAATATTTTTTATTTATTTGCTGATTATCAACGGCAAGCTTTTAAAAAATTATTATTAAATGTTATGTTTTAACCAATTGACACCTGTAGGCAAGCACTTTCCTATTTAATCACTACTTACTTAGGGTTACCCCCTTTTTCTTGCCAAAGTTATCGTGACACTCTGAGTTCCTATTTCTTTCATTAAAATTAAAAATAATAATTAAAATAGTATACGTGGGTTTGGCTAACTTGGCGATTCAAATATTAGGGATGTGCATGGGCAAAAAATTTGGTCTGGTTTGTCACTTCTGAAATTCGGGACTTTTGCATTTCGGGACTTTGGTAATTTGGCACTTCGGCACTTCTGTTTCGCACTTCGGTACTTTGACAATTTGGGAATTCTGCAATTCGAAACTTCGGGACTACAGCACTTTGGAAATTTGGCAACTCCCTACCCCAAAACCCAACCCCTACACCTATCCCTAACCCAACCCCTAACCCTACCCTAACCATTAACCCCAACCCTAACCTTACCACTAACCCTACTAGGGGTAGGGGTAGGGTTAGGGTTGGGGTTAGGGGTTAGGTTAGTCTAATTTAGTCTGAGGGAAAGGTCTTTTTACAGTACAAACAATAAGGACGTGAAATTATCTGCCTGAAGATGTGGTTTAATCAGTCTATAAAGATATTTAAACAGCAATTGTTCAACTGTATTGCATCCATATTCATGGGGTATTCAAGTATATAAAGCTGCAACATCGCAGGTAACTAAGAAATAGTTACCCTCCTATTCAAAATCCTTTAAAAACTTCAAAACATACATAGTGTCTTTCATATTTGTTTGTGTTTCCTGAACTACCGGTTGCAAGTACACATCAAAAATAGACCTTTTCTAAATAACTCCAAAAACATTCTAATAATCTCTTCCAATGGATTTTTGTGTAACTTTTTATAAATGTTCCCATTATTTAAAATTCTTTCAGATTCCTTATTTTAAAATTATTTAGACATTAAAACAATGCCGACCCCTTATCTCTGTGCTTAACTGCTAAATCTGTATCTTCTCTAAAATCTTTCAAGAGTTTATTTTCTTTTACTGTTGACTTACATTTAAACTGCTCCTTTAGTTTTATCTTTTTTATATCTGTCATAACTAGAGTTGAGCACACACCTGGATGTTCGGGTCCGGCGGGTTCGGCCAAACTTTGAAAAAAAGTCCAGGTTCGGGCTCGAACTTAACCCCGAACCCGAACCCCATTGAAGTCAATGGGGACCCGAACTTTTGGCCACAAAAATGCCTCTAGAAAACTCCTGGAAAGATCTAGAGCAAGTGAAATGGGGGTAAGAGTAGGACAACTGCCCTGCAAACAAATGTGGATAGGGAAATCACTTAAAATAACATAAAAATTAAGAATACAGCTGAGCCATAAAATAGCACTAGATGGAATCTTTGATTTTAGCGTTGGAAGAACATAAATCAAAATCTAAAGCATGGCTGTCAGGAGGATCAACAGAATTATCCATTTGAGAGAGGGTTGGAGTGCAGGGTATTCTCTTTCATTGTTCAAACTGAGCTTAACTCCTGATGCATTGAGAAAAGGCCTTCACAAGCCTCTGCTAATGTGTACCTAGTTTATACTAAGTGACCCATAGGTTGAGGAGGCGGTGACCGTGGCGGTGGAGGAGGAAGCAGTGGTGGAGGAGGAGGATGAGGTAGCCAACACTGTTTTTTATTTATATATTTATTTTTTTTAATTGTGGTAGCCCACAAACTATTGGGACATACAACAAAAGAAACATTTGCGGCCTGCGGTGCATTTCTTGCAGTCCTAATGCATGGAGAAATGCTCATCTCCTGATACATGGAGAAAAAGATCTTCACAGGCCTCTGTTATTGTGTACATAGTTTATACTAAGTGACCCATAGGTTGAGGAGTTAGTGACCGCGGCGGTGGCGGAGGAGGATGAGGTAGCCAACACTGTTTATGTGTATGTGTATATATATTTTATTTATTTATTTATTTATTTTTTTTTATTGGGGTAGCCCCCAAAATATTGGGACATAAAAAAAAAACACAGAGTAGCTGTTGACATTATAGTTGCGCAAGAACTTTGTTGACTCTAGAGAACCTCGGGCAAATCGCACATCCCCGTGGCAGCGACTTTGCATGCATATGTCATCCATATCAACTTTCGATGCCAGTTTCTGCACATACCATGGTGACCATTGGTAACGGGGAATCAGGGTTCCATTCCGTACAGGGACCCTGAGAAACGGCTTCCACACGCAAGGAAGGCAGCAGGCGCAAAAATGACCCTCTCCTGACGCGGGAAGGTAGTGATGACAAATAACAATACAGGACTCTTTAGAAGCCATTTAATTGTAATGAGTCCACTTGAAATCCTTTAACTCTGATCAATTGGAGGGAAGTCTGGTGCAGAGCCACTGACATGTGTGTGCTGCAGCTGAAACTCCACTATCGCCTGCTGCTGCTCGCACAGTCTCATGAGGCATTGAGCGGGAAGGCCGAAGTTATGCTGCAGCGCAGACAGGCGAGCAGCAGCAGGGTGACAATGCCAAAAGTGCGCACAGCCGCTTCAGTGAATGTCACATCCTGTTCCAAGTTGCGGATCAGTCTGGTGATGGCTTCTGGTATCAAGTACTCTTTTTACTGAAGCTGCATCAGGGTCCTCGTATGTGGCCGCACAAAGGCTGGTGCTCAGCACCAGGGGGCGTGTGGTTACCCTGCACCAGACCCTGCTAATCCATTCCACACTGTGACTCCTAACTTCAACATCAGGCATACTGGGTCCCAGTTGTCCGACCGCCGCCCAGACAGAGTCTGGGTCCTGGTCACCGGACTGCCCACCTCACTGTGCAACTACGAATGGATCGTTAAATCAAGTCTATTATGGATCCTTTGATCGCTGCATGCATTACTTGGATAACTGGTAATTCTCAAGCTAATACATGCCGATGAGCGCTAGGGGACGGCCGCTCTGCTTTTGCAAACTGCTCCCTCTTATGCTGTGCTGGTGCCTCTGTGCGATCAGCACCTCTTCCTCCAAACTGCACACGTCACATGCATGACCTTGATTCCATGTGGGGCCTAGGACCTCATCATCCTCCACATCATCTTCCACCCACTCCTCAACACTGCCCTCCTTGCCGGTATGCACACTGCAGAAAGCCACAGCAGTTGGCACCTGTGTTTTTCCAGCATGTAAAGTCTGCAAAGGACAAATGGAAATTGTTTTAGAATTGTATCCAGGCAACGGTGTTCCCTATAAACTTACCTCTCAGTTTGACTTGTGAGGGTATTGCCCCAGAATTACAATATTGTTGAAGTACCTCTGAGCTATTGATCACTGGTTTAAATACAACAGCTTGCTATCTGGTAGTTTCTAGTGTAGAAAATATCAATCTGTTTTCTATAACTTAGATCTATGTAACAAGTGTTGTGGGTGTGAAACAATATTACAAGTGACCGATGTAGTAAATTCGAATCAAAGTTACGCTTCGCTTTGACTCTCAGATATGAAGTGAACACCCCAAATATACTATTTAGCACCAAAAAAATTACAAAAATTGACTTTTTAAAACTCCAATGTAAGCAGATCAGCAGCAAAACAATTAGAATGTTTACCACTGCTCAGTAAGCACACTATAAGACGCTTCTATTTGACTCTCAGATATAAAGAGCAGGCCCCAAAATGTACTAGTTAGCAGATTAGAACCCAGAAAATAAGAATGCTTACCACTGACCTGTATGCACACTATTAGACGCTTCTATTTGACTCTCAGATATGAAGTGCACCCCACTAAAATACTATTTAGCAGTTTAGGACCCCCAAAAATTTAAGTTTTAAAACTGAAATGTGACAGCAGTATTTGAAGCTTATATTTGACTCTCAGATATGAAGTGCACCCCACCCCACTAATGTACTAGTTTGCAGAATTCTTTCCTAGGCTGTCCCTATCAGTGATAGAACACAAAGGTTAGGCGCTCGCTATAGTGATGATGTAATAAGAGTGGGCAGCAGTGACCGGCACAAGGATTCCCAACTGTGAGGAACTGACTCTGCTGGGTTTCGAACCCTGGTTTACATGGTGCTAAACCTCTTCCTTACCTGTACACCAGCCTGCCTTTTGCAAGTTTACCTAAGATCTGATACCATTGCTTGTAGAGTCAAGATTATCAGTGACAACTCTCTTCAGCTGTGTCTGGTTCTTGGCCTATAAAAGCCACTTCCTGTCTCTGTACCTTTGCCAGATTATTGTGGTTCCTGTACTCTCTAATCAAGCGTGTTCCTTTTTCTCCTTCCTGTTGCTGAATTTGGACTGTTTTGACTTTGCTGCTTCTCCTTCCCACTGACCTCGGCTTGCCTCACTACGATTATCATCTTTCTGTTCCAGTCTCCCATCTCTGCTTAAGACCAGAAGGCCACTCAAGGCTCAGGGGCTCAACCACCTGGGTAACGAGTGGCTACCTCTCGCAGAAAACATTGCTGATCTGGCTACTGGACTCCAAAACTTTGTAACATCAATATCATTACAGAATAATCTGGCCCATTCATGGAGACCGTCGGATCAGATTCTGCATTGGCCCAGCAGGTTGCTTTTGAAGCAAGAACTATGCAGACCCAGGCACAGACCATTCAAGTGCTGCAGGATCAGGTAGCTGAACTGCAAAATGAAGTTCAATCAATGCATAGTGATCTTACCAGCTACAGGGCACATGATGTTGCGGCTGCTGCTACTACTACTACTTGCACCTGCACAAGATGCCCGCTTGCCTCTACCAGAAAAATTTGGAGGAGACTGCAAAAAATTTAGGGGTTTCCTAAATCAATGCCGTTTGCATTTCATGATGTTACCTAACCGTTTTCCACCTGAAAGAGAGAAGGTGGGATTTATTTCCTCCCTCTTCAAAGATGAAGCCCTGGCCTGGGGCTCCCCTTTTCTGGAACAGGACAGTCCAGTCTTGGGAAATTTAAAAGACTTTCTTGAGGCCATGTGCCTAGTTTTTGATGATCCCAATCGCTGTGCTACAGCAGAAGCCACTCTCCTTCATTTACATCAAGGGAGGCGCTCTGTGGCTGAATATGCTGCTGAATTCAGACAGTGGGTTACTGATACTACTTGGAACCAATCAGCCCAGAGGTTCCACTTCAGAAGGGGTCTCTCAGAAGCTATAAAAGATGAGCTAGCTCGTGTTGATCTTCCTGTTGAGTTTGATGCATTTGTGCGGTTGGCTATCCGTATTGATCGGAGACTTTCAGAAAGAAGATTGGAAAGACAGGGCTCATTTAAACCAAGTGCTACTCCTACTTTCTATTCAAGAATTTCTACTCCGACCCCACAAACACCTACAGACTCTGAACCTGAGGCTATGCAGGTAGATCTAATAAGAGGGCCATTATCCAATGAAGAAAAACAGTGGCGACGCACTCACAATTTATGCCTGTATTGTGGTAGTGCAGGGCATTATGCCATCAATTGCCCTAGCAAGTCTAAAAGAACAATAGCTATGACTGCTGAGGGTGCACAGATTCAACACCAATCCCAGATTTCAGACCAACTGGATTCTGTCACACAACCCTTGTTTTCTCTGGCTCAGGGTGAAGAAGGTATGATGACTCAACATCCTCATTTGGTGGTGCCTATCACTTTGCAATATGGTGATAATAAAATTTCAACTACAGCTGTGATAGATTCCGGAGCAGGCGGAAACTTTATGGACATTAAATTTGCAGCAGGAAATAAAATTCAGTCTATCCCTAAATCTTCACCTGTGTTAATGGAAACAGTAGATGGTTCTCCACTTACGTCAGGCCCGGTTACACATGAGACTGTGCCCTTAAAATTGATTCTGGAAGTGAATCACCATGAGTCTATATCTTTCCACCTAATTTCCTCAACACAGTTTCCAGTGATTTTTGGGTATACCCTGGCTTGCTCTGCATAACCCACAGATTGATTGGAAGACTAGAACCTTGTCCTTTCCTTCAGAACACTGCTTAATGAATTGTCAACCCTCTAAGGCGACACCTGTTACCACAACAATTAATGAAATGGTTGCTACAAACTTAACTAAGCTTCCTCTACAATATCGGGATTTTGCAGATGTCTGTGATAAGAAGAATGCTGATCAGCTTCCACCTCACAGGCCTTATGATTGCCCCATAGAGCTGCTACCTGGAGCTGCTATCCCATTTGGCCGTATATACACCCTTTCTGAGCCTGAACTGAAAGCACTTTGTGAATACATACAAGAAAATCTTGCCAAAGGCTTTATTCGACCATCTACTTCTCCAGCAGGAGCTCCTATATTCTTTGTAGAAAAGAAAGATGGCAGTCTACGGCCATGTGTCGATTACAGGAACATTAATAAAATCACTGTCAAAAACCGTTATTCCTTGCCTCTCATTCCTGAACTTCTGGAGAGACTTCATTCAGCTAAAATATTTACGAAGCTTGATCTACGGGGGGCATATAATCTGGTTCGCATAAGACCAAATGATGAATGGAAAACAGCTTTCAGAACCAGGTACGGACATTACGAATATCTAGTAATGCCATTTGGGCTTTGTAATGCCCCTGCAACTTTTCAGCATCTAATCAATGATGTACTACGGGATCTCCTGGATCAGTTTGTTGTGGCATATTTGGATGATATCCTGATATTTTCTGATAATCTTGAAAATCACAGAAAACAGGTCTGCATTGTTCTTGAGCGCCTTCGTACCCACCACCTATACATTAAACTGGAAAAATGTGAGTTTGAACAAACAGAAATTCAGTTCCTGGGGTATGTAATAACTCCTAAAGGTTTAAGTATGGACGCAAGTAAAATTAAAGCTGTGCTGGACTGGCCCATCCCCAAGAATGAAAAAGATATACAGAGATTTGTGGGGTTTGCCAATTTTTACAGGCGTTTCATTAAGAATTTCTCTGCCGTTATTACACCGATCACTGAACTTACACGTAAAGGGACTCCTTTTCAGTGGTCCAATAAGGCTGACACTGCATTTTCCAAATTAAAGACTCTGTTTACATCTGCCCCTATCTTGGTACATCCTCAGCCAGAATTGCCATTTACTGTAGAGGTAGATGCTTCTGATTCAGCTGTTGGGGCTATACTGTCTCAAAGGACTGGACCTAAGATGTTGTTACATCCATGTGCCTTCTATTCCCGCCAGATGTTACCAGCAGAAAGAAATTATGACATAGGGAATAAAGAACTTTTGGCTATAAAAGCTGCCTTCACCGAATGGAGACATCTCTTGGAGGGAGCCACCCATCCAATTACTGTCCTCACAGATCACAAAAATCTGG